ATATATATATATATATATATATATATATATATATATATATATAGAATGATTTATTGATTTGTATCTGCGTATACTAATTATTATATTGTAAGTACGAGCAAATTACATCTTTTCATAATTGGCTTTTGTTGTCCTTATTTTTAATCCAAAGGTCTTACAATTATTCGCTTGGTCTACCTGCATATATCATGAGTGTGTGAAAAAATCTTTTTTTTCATAGTTATCAAATATTTAATACAATGAGATATCGTAAGAATGCATGATAAAATGTATCTTAATTTATTAAATTTGTTTAACAAGATATAAGATTCTAATTGAAAGTTTCCAAAACTCCAGGGGTTATGTTTCATACACACTTACCGCCAACTGTCGGTTCAAGTGTATGTCGTTGGGTAGGTATAATCATATCATAAAAGTACCTGTACTACAACAAATACCAAAAAACCAATAATTGCCGGTAAATGTGCGGTGATGAGCTACTGATAGTGTCACGACGTTTTCATCACGAAGAGATGGTCTTATTGATAATCACATTCGACCTGTCATCATTTATCATTTTTCTATACTTAACGTCACGGCTCTACCATTATCGCTCAACTTGCTCTCTTCTAAATTATGAATAACATTTGTTTTTCACTGAATGTACGACACATCAGGTGTGTACGTTCTTTTTTATAGATATATATAACAAGGTATATATTTCTTTTGCATAAATCTAGATGCCTTACATATTAATGAAAGGTTCCGCATTTTAACTTTGTGTACAATCGATCAACAGGTAGAGTTACGCGTTGCAGCGATTCTACTTAAAAACAATTTGCATTTCGGTGTTGCCACACATCGTGTTACTTTATATAAAATAAATTGCGCAGTTTTCCCAATTACAGAGTCTACAAATATCAACAAGTCAAATTAATTAACAGAACCAAATAAATTGCGGCTACAGACGTTAGGCGTCGACTTTACAATTACAAATTTAAAAGTATATAACTGATTGAGAGGATTGTTTGAAGATCTTAATCTTTGTTATCATACATAGTCGTGTTCTTTTTCTTAATACACAAGGGAAATATGTATAAGGGAATGCACGAATTATTATGCACAGTTCAGAGTAATATTACAATTTATACATGATTCCATGCGTTTATTAGCTTAAAAAAGTAATTTTCGATAAATTTCGATTTTCAAAAACTATTAATTCCAATATGAATCGATCGTATAATTACAACATAAAAGGAAAATCCGGAAAAGTTTTTTTTTGGAAATGCAGCGTTTTTTCGTACATAAATACACAGGCGAAAAACTCGTACGCACCTGCCACCAGATTCCTGATGTAATAAGAATTATGTCATTTGGACACAAATTAAAGGAAGTGCACCTTTGCGATTAAACCTTGTGGTCAACCATATCCACGTTGATCTTGTAATAAACATATGGGAAATAATCACTTTGACCAAAACCCAGTCCTGGTATATCTACACTCTGTTAAAATTAAACAAATTTCCTTGTTAAATATACATTGGTTTTGTACGATAGATTCAAAAAGTAAGACTCATCATATTCATTTGCAGAAATAATAATAGTGATTTTTACAAGTACATACATTTCCAGAACTTATAACAATTTAAAGAACTGATGTAATGTCACACACAATCAAATTCTATACAAATATCTTAACTTACATCTTGATTGTGTTGCGCAGTTGTCGAAGCAGTAGCTGATGAGTCTAAATGAGCGTAAAGCTGATTTAGAACATCACGTAATCGCCTCGCGCACCTCTTATGCGGATGCAACAGTATTGCTTGGAAATTAACGGGTAAGCCGTATCTATAAATCATTCGTGTTAGAATACGCCATAGTGACGTGATATTTTGCGTGAAGTGCATTTAATGTATACCTAAGAACAGATTCAACAAATACACGCAGAGCTTTAACATGGATCCAAGCGCAAAAGCATTCACTAAAATTTACTTTTAACCAGCGCACCAGAGGGCCAAATTGTTTCTTTTTATCAGTTACTAACTTCGTAATCTCATTTTTTCCTACAAAAAAAGATGTAATCGGGATGAAACACGCGAATATTATGTACATATAGATATATGCATAGATAACTTCTTATTCTAAGAATATTTATAACATGTTATATAGTACATTTATACAGTGTCCCAGCATAAAGAGAACACTTAAATATCTTCCTAGTTTTTAATTATACGAGAAATTAGTTTAGAACACAATTTGAATGGTTTCTAAAGGAGGAATACTATATGGTGGAAGGATAATTTTTTGCGATTATCTTTTATGAAATTTTTGAAGATCCCCGGTATTTTTTGTAGAACAGCATATATTTTTTTCTATTACATCTTGTAGCGGATGTTCAAATGCACTGAGGTATGTCTGAATTATGATCTTGAGAAGACTCCAAATATAAATAAAGCAGTCAAATTCTAAGACAGTGTTAGGATTGTATTCGAAAAAAATAATCGCAAAAAATTCTCCTTCTATGGTATTCCTTCTTCAGAACCATTCAAATTGTACTCTAAACATTTCTCATATCATTAAAAACAAATAAAATATTTAAATGTTCTCCTTATGCTGGAATACCTCTTGTATATTCTTAAATTATAATATAATTCCATACTAGCTCTATGAGAGACAGTTATTTTGACAAACCTGCTGCCAATTCTTCCTCATTATACGTAAAGTCTCGTACGATAAATTTCTTCTCACGAGCGTGTAATTTAAACTCGTCAATGACTTTCTTGAACAAAGTGACTGTAAACAATCCATATTCAGAATCCTGAGTGATAAGTTGTGTACTGCGCGGTACAATCATATCCGTCAATTTCTCATAACCACTATACCACTCCTGGAAGTTAGATCTGAAAATACCAGAATATGAGATATAAGTTTTAATAGTTACTAGTTTTCTTGTAAAGATAAATTTAGTATTGTCGTCAAAAGTATGCTATAAATATGCATACTTACTTCGGTACGATCACAAGCAAAGTAGATAAATATTCACTGTCCAAAATAAAATGTTCCTTTTTCACTAGGTCCGCTAAATTTCGCGTTAATAAACTTCCCCTGTTAAGAACATGGTGAATATGATTTTTCGTAGTAATTTGTCAATTGCAATTCCAATAATACATAAGGAAGATAAAACTAACGTCTGTTTCTTCTCCAGATTCTGTAAGCTGCCTTTTAAATTGTTATATATCGTGGACTTGGTTTTCAAATCGGCATCGATTTGTCCCACTTGCTTACTGATAATATCCGCGATATTTCTTAAAGATTGTTTGATGGGGTATTTAGCCATGTCCCACTGGAATCGAGTTATATATGATGGCAGATCACCTAGTAAAGTTGAATCATTAATCCAATTGTGTTTAAAGGGCAAGCTTTTATATACGCAACTATATAAGCGCAGAGCTTTAGAATTATTTAACCAAGATATATAATTAATTAATCTTCAACAATTTTTAACAATAAATAAATAAATATATGTAATATATGTATATAGAAAGAGAGAAACATATACGACATTCTACATGTCGTAAATGTATAATTGGAAAAATCCATTTTAAGTACATTTCTTAAGCTCTGCATATATTGTTATATACGAAAACGTTCTGACATGTGTGTCATTATAATAAGTTTAAAAATAGAAATTTATTTAAAGTAATGTTGTCAGAAGGATAATATTCAAAATGGTGAGATAGATAGAGAAAGGAATGATTTGCACACAATAACTGTTTTGATTCTAGTATGCTCCTCACTTATTGTTAGCATTACAAGAAATATAAGCAGGGCATACACAGAATATATATCATGCGACCAATAATGAATATATTCATAAATAAACTTATTTTTAAAAGCTCGTGAAAAGCTCACTTGTCACAATCACTTATCATTCTTTTACCATAAAAATGTGTGTAACACATTCATCCATTCTCTTTATTATTTATATCAAAATCTATAAATAAAATTCACTGTGAAAACTCTTTAAGAAATCTCAAAGTTCTGTTTGTAAAGTTTTTGATTAATAACTTATGTGATCTCAAGACACATCTGTACATGCAAATCTTAGTAATCCTTAAATCCTTATAAAATCTTAGTAAACTTGATAACTTATTGTAATATTTCTTACATTTACTAACGTTCCTTATCAAATGCATTGCATAATGCAAAAAAATGTATGCGTTAATCTCAAGTCAATTAAGATAAATTCTCATACACATGCATATGAACTTATGCTATATCTACTATTTATACTCATCAGTTTATTCAATCTTTTGAGGATCTATGCTTTAGCATACTAATATAAATTATGCTTCTTTCTACAAGTGTTTTCTCAGACATATGCAGCCTTTAAAAAATAGCATATGTGATCAGCCACTGCAAATCGATGTGCAATGATGCAAAATAATATAATAAGCGGAGTAGCCAAAATAAAAAAAAGCAATTTGTGACAACTTTTATATAAAATAGTAATAGTACGCTATACCATTTCCTTTTCTCAAGTAAATACATGAAAGGTTCTTTTGGCTCTCGTATGCTCATATTCGAGAACTATCAAGCACTTACATCTTAACAAGTTCTATTCCAATAATCTACCACATGCAGAGTAATATTATAAATTCATGTACCGATCGATAAGCATTGTTAATTCTTAGTAGTACTATCTGGTGCTGTAATCTGTGCTACTGTCTGACAATATTATTGCTTTGTATATGTATTATCGTCTGTACAAGATGTGGTCCTTTTATTAAAATCATAATAATCATTAAAAGGGAATTAAAAACATCAGCATTAGGAAAACAGAAATATATAATTTAGGATAAAATCATTTTGGAATAGGATAGAAATGCTGCGAGTTTTCTCACGTAGATCTACCTTAAGTGTTACATTTCTGTTATTGCATTGTTAGAATTTATCTAAATCTACTTATAAACACAACATAGTTGAAACGTCATCGATTGACAATCCTTATGGCGATCAGAAGATTATAATCAAGACTGTGTCTCAATTAATTGTTATCATCTAAAGTTCCTTTCCGATAAGTCGAGACTGATACCGCTGGAAAAATTTCCCCATACTCAACTTGTAAAATTTTGCTTCTCAGGGCGGATGTATATTTCAATTGTACCCTGCGTACACGTATATGCACAAATAATACCAAACATAAACGAAAACAGCAGATAAAAGTAGTAATTTTAATTGAGAAATTAAATAATAATTCAATAAATTGCAGCGGAAGCGATATACGGCAAAAGCTACTGAAAAGAAAACAAAAGAGAATTAATAAAAAAAAAGAAGCTAAATTGCCTGGTGAATAACCAGATATATGTAATATGCATATTGCCAATAAAATGGAATATCCAATTTTTGTATGTGTTCACACGGGTTCGTGTGTATTTGTACACAACCAATATAAAGGACAAAGCAAGAGTGAGGACAAACGAGCTAAAAATACACTAAAGATACAGCAGCAATATCTCGAGAAAAGAAAACAAATTGTAGAAAAGACGGTGTGCACACTCATCATAATCAGGATGTGCTACGGCATGATGAATTTCTTTTGGTATTCACTAAATCAATCACATTCGTCAAATAAATGTAGCCGAAGAAAATGTCTTGTTTCCAGTTTTCTGCAGATACCAAAAGTCGAGAAGAAACGAGTTACTCGATTGATTGAAATTTCATTTAAATTTTAACAGGAGAGAGATTGTCGTCTACTTCTTACTACTTGTTTGACCACAAAGCTATGATATCTATGTTATTTCAAACGCGATTATTAGTGATTATTTGATAATGAAACAATAAGAATTTACGATTATCGATATACGATCTATAACTATATATCTTCTCTATCAAAGCGAGCACGCAGTAACGATCTTACACAATCTGTAAGTTCTAGTTTCGATTCTTGTCGTACTTACAGCGTAATATAATTTAGAAGTACCGTAAACATATAGTTTTTCCACTTCTCCTTCGCTCGTCTCTGTTCCAAGAATTCTTCATTCTGTAAATCATGATAGTATCTCGACTATGACAATCTCTCTCTCTCTCTCTCTCTCTTTCTTCATTTCTTTTTTTTTCAATTTTTCTCATATCTACACATCTACCTCCAAGAAAACGCGATACGACATAGTCGCTAAACGATCGAGACACGTGGTGCACGGGACAACGGGATGGACAAAGCTTCGCGGCTATGTCAAGGAGGAGAAGGAGTGACGGTCTCGAATCCGGCAGTGGCAGTGGCAGGACGGGTACCTGGATTCGGCAAATTGCCACTATGATCTTGGTCGTTGTTTCGGTCCGCATCATCGTCTTCGTTGTTGTTATCATCATCATCATCATTATCATCATCATCTCCAAGCGATTTGCACGTGGATCGGTCTGGTTTCTCGGCAGTTCGAGGACGTACTGGCTGCTGCCACCCAAACTCCCCTTCGCTGCTACAGTTCGATGAGTGGGATGGGGTCGGACTCGCGGGAGCAGGACTTGAGGGTGGCGTCGAGGGTGTAGAAGCAACGCACCAATGAGCATGGTAGCATGAATATATTGATGAGGGATAGCTGGACGCTTTGACATCGCAGATGCCCTGGAGATCGTACGATAGCTTCTTTTCGAACGCGGGGAAATGGCTGTGATGTTGTTTATGGGAGTTATGGTGATAATGATGGTGGTGATGATGGTAGTGGAGGTGATGATTGTGATGGTCGTAGTCGTGGTAGTGATGACGTTGGTGATGATGCTGACCTAAACAGGTGGCCGGCTCTGGCTCGGACTTGTCCAATTCCCTCCACTGCCTGTGATGCCCCGTCGTAGTCGTGTGTGATGGTGTGACGGGGGTGTTTGGCGGGGTGTCCGGACCCCCTTCGGGGCTCGAGCTCTCACCCTCCACTGATGTCTGACCTATCCATTACAGCCCAATCCCAATCTCCGCGCGATCTTTCTTATGTCTTGCTCAACTATTATTGTCTCCTACGCAAATGCCTAACGACAATGCTGACAAAACTGAATGAAAATAACCAAAAAGAAAAACACGGAGTATTCAGCGCAAATCACTTCTTCTCTATTAGCTATTTTTGGAACTTGGAATTTCAGGTTATTGTCAATTAATCAAATATTAATGATAAATCCTAAATAAACTATAGATATTTCAAATTTTCGATAAATATATAATCACTGATAGAAAAGATAAGATAAACAAATTTTTTAAAATACACAATATTTTTAATCGTAGATAAACAACAGCAAATACAATAAGCTCAGTGAAATGTAAAAAAAATTTTATATTTTAAACGTAAAAAAATTTTATACTTTAAATGTAAAATTTCTTGAATTGATATTGTAGATTGACCGTATACACATTGTACTTGACACATTCGTTAAAAAAATTGTTCTCTTATAGATAATATTTACGCAATTAAATACTCCGATATATTGCGAAAGCAATGACGAAATAGAAACAAAGCAACGAAAAGAGTATTCGAAAGTAACGAATAATACTGATGGATAGATATATACTGAAAAGTAAAGGAGTAATAATCGTTGCGACTTGAAATTATACGGTGCATCGCAAAATGATAATACGAAATGAGTATTGACGATTAAGAAACCAAGGAAAATGAAATCTCGTAGTGGCTAATCAGAGCTTGGTGACCACAGTAACCCAAGCAACTCCTCGTGTCCTCCAGAAAATATTTTTTCAACACGCGTGTGGTCCGTAAGATCGATAGTAATGCCGTCCACATGCCGTTTAGTTTGTCCTTTATATAATGTTATGTATTCGTGTCTCGAGAAGTCTCTTTTTATACCTTAGCACAAGTTCCTTTGCATGGTGCATATGTATGAGCATTTATCCTTAAAATAATAACAAGGGTGGGGGGAAACAGGGTTAATGTGGTCAAAGTTAACAAAAGTAAGCCAAGCAACATCACGAATAATTTAGAAATGATCTATATAGTAGATAATATAAACAAAAATATGTTTCAACTAAACACATTAATAAGCATTCTACAAACATATCAACTATGTACTGCCGTACATAACGCATATCATGTGCGTTTCACATGCGGATATAGCTATACAATTTAATGCAGTGTACTGCATAATATATTTGTTAGAAATATATCGATTATTCTATCCAAGAAATATATATATAATCTCATCCAAATAATACATTATAAATTAATATTATTTATATATATTATAGTATTTATTTTTTATGTAATGTTAACATTACATATAAATTAAATATAAATATATTACACATAAAATAAGTATTACAACAAATATTGTAAATAAATGATGTATTGCTTATTATATTATAATAAATTTTGATTATTACAAAAAATTTATTTATACAATTTATTATATTACAATAAATTGTAAATTTATACAATTTATTATATTACAATAAATTGTAAGTGCACAAACAACCGCAATGGGCTTTCACAAGTGATAGTATTATTTGTTCATTTCTTGGAATCATAATTTTTAGTAAACAAATATTGTACAAGAAAGCTTTATGAAAGTACCTTTTTTCTAATTTAATGATATGCACCATGTATACAGATATTAATACATATATACTACAGAAGAATTCTGTCTGTATTCACATAACTGACTGTTGAAACATGCTAGAATATTCTGTAATGTTATTTTAAATATATTATATTTATCATACTGTTTATGTATACAGACAAAATTATTGAAACTTTATTCTATTATACTATGATATGGGGTACACAAGGGGAAAGAACAGGGGGATTATATTTTTCTAAAATTCAACTCATTATCTCAACATATTATCTTCAATAAATCAAGTAAAATCTGGGTTAACTGATTGATATCGAAGATCATTAAGAAAAAAGCAATTCGGATTTGTGTGCATGTTTCGTGTTGTGTATGGTATTTATTGGTGCATTAATCAACATTACTCTAAATTATAGAGTATATCATAAAAAACGACGCATAGAAAATCGATCGATACTTGTTTGCAAGGGTCCAAAAATATATATATATTTTTTTTACCAACAATAATTTGTACTATTATTTCTGTAACTAGCTCTTCTGTGTCAAGTGTCAAGTGTATAACTTGCACAATGCCTTTTCCTTCCAAACAGAATATCGAATGGTAAGAATCAAGATCTCACTGCAGGTTAGCATTCTCTAGTCTACTTGCATACCTACTCTCGACTTTGCCACTATAGTAGATCATGTGTTTCAATAAAAGTGCAACCTTTCATCATATCAATAATTTCTCATATAGTAATTATCGAGCACTGTGTGATACTTGAGAGGAATGTAGAGGTGATTCGACGGATATAGATAAATATAGATAACACAGTTTGGATCCTTGGATAAGCAATTCTCCCTTCCCTTATGGAGAGTATTATTAAGAAAATACAAAGGCCCAAGAGATATGACAAGGCATTACATTGGTTTTACTCACTGTTGTTAGCCATCAGGTTTTCATGCAGCTTGTCCCTTTGGTCCTCCAGAACCTCTCCCAAATACGTTGCCACCTTGCGCGTTACTTGTTCCACAAATGCATCTAGCTTGCCAAGATCATCTGATAAGCCGACCAGTTGATCCAGTGTTCCAACCTTCAAGTCTGGGATATGAAATTTGTAATTCACTGACAACGAATGCTGCTTGGATGTCAGATTGTTCATAGTTTCCCATGTCTGCTGACAGGTTTTGTCACCCGGTGCCGATATCAGCCAGTATTCTGTCATCTTGAGTAATATGTTTTGCAACTAAATTCCTAATATACCTGAAACAGAAATATATTTTTAATCACCTAATTATATAAATTAAACTTCAAGATTCTTTATCTAATCTTCATAACATTGCATATATATATATATATATATATATATATATATATATATATA